GATCAGTCGTAATGACTCAGGCGTATATTGAGTACAAGTGCTACCAAGGGCAGCGGGGCTGCCGTAGGTAGCTCTTTACTTAGAGAAAACTCTTCAATGTCACCGACCTTACGTTTTATACCAGAATCAGTCATAGCGTAGCGGATCGCAATCTCCTCTCTCCAAGAGTACCCAAAACCTTACCCAGAGCAGATGTACTCTTCCGTTCAAAACTTGAAACTGTATTTTTTTTGTTATTTTTGCGGCAGAGCCGTCTACATCTAAAATTTTAGGTTTTTCTGTTTAAATAGTAAAACTTATTCATAAACATAACCCCTGGCAGGCATGCCACATAGTGGCTTCTTGTTACGGTGTAGCCACACGATTGTGTGATTACACCAACTTGTGTAATCCACATCTTTGTACGTTCTGTAACCGTTACAAAGTCGATTAATTTTTCGAGTTGGGGACGCTTGATAGACTTAAAATATTAATTCTATCGTAATTTGTATCTATCGATATTTCTTCTCATGATAGATTGTGTCAGCACAATCTGGTACAAGACCTCTCACAAAAGTACGTGCTAATAGAAAGAGTACCGGAATGAATACAATTTGAGCATTTACAATTCCAAACATGGAGATAGAATTCCCAATTTCTTTCCAACTGCCTTCATTTTTCACCAAAAACAAAAAGTGAAGTGCAAGTAAATCTGACATGGCAACAACCAGCAGAAAGTAGCGCGTTGCTGGCAAACGAGATTGATTTGAATCTACTGATGATGAAGTTGCTGGAAGCAGGAGAATTAGATGAAATGTGCATGCCACAATCATAAATGGAATGAGAATCTTGCCAATTAATAACGCGCCCATAGTAAACGGTGCAAAGACTGTGACAAAGCGATAGGTAGAAGAAATCTCAAAGCTACTCATACTCGCGACATTGCCCGTACCAAAGAAAGCAATATTCACAAGTAGCAAAAACACAAACGCACGTTGAAATTCCCGCCACATACCCGAAGGTTCCATTTGAGCTTCTAACCGTAACCAACTCACAAGAACGAAACAGAGTACCACGTAAAAGAGTGTCTCGTACGCGATACTGAGTAGAATAAATGAAGGAGCAAATGCGAGTATCACTTCCACAAGACGTTTCATGAAGCGTTCGACATCATCTAATTGATCATCAAATTCATAATTGCGAGCACTTCGATGAATATAGACAAGAAGAGCCACGATTGGAGTTCCAGCTAATAACCAATTCGCAATTGTAAGAAAAAGTGGTGGTTTGCTACGATCTCCGTCAAGATACTGCATCGTTTTGTGTAGAGTCACTAAAGATAGCAGAAGTGGCAACGCTCCGACTATAAAAGTTGAGCGTTTCCAGAGCACGTGGTCTGTTGGTGTGAACCTCCGTACTGCAACAGCAAAGAACACAATACACAGTCCACCCACATGCACCAATGCAGTATGTTCTCCGTATTCAGTAGGTAGATACGGAAAAATCGAAAGAAGAATACAACTGATGGTCCACGAGCGAGTCGGTGAAGTAGAAGTGCCCAATGTCTGTTCATATCTTTGAGAATATGATACATGACCAACAAATGGCCAAAAAGCAAGAAGCGCGAAAAGCATCCCAAAAATTTCACGCTGTTTATAGCCCCACACAACGAGTTCTAAACATACGAGAATAAGTGCAATTTCAACATACTGCAGCCACCTGTACGAAGTAATCTTGCTTCTTGTATGATCACAGTCTAGTTGTATCATATTTGTATGATTCCACACGAAGAGACTGAAAACAAGTGGAAATGTTACATAGAGGTAATACGTGAATGGAGAATGTTCAAGAGCTAGATATAGAAACGTTCCAAAGAGTCCTACGAACAATTTGATGTCTACTTGCTTCCCGAGTGGACCAATTAACCACAACAACGTAAATTTACGTGGATGTAAGTATGCAATAAGTAGCACGATCATCCATCCAAGATATCCCAACACCACAATACTAAGTAAAAAGAACCAGTCATATCGCTGGAAATACACCAACGATCGTAAACAAATGTCAATGAGCTCTTGACTCAATACTTCGACATGTTCATAGCCTTTCTCTTTCTCCTCGTTATACGCACTCTCAAGAGTTTGCAACAGATCTGGTACACGGTCTCGAAATGGACCATATGGAGCAAAGTGCCATAGAGTGCGTGATTTTTTCTCTTGCTCTTTTCGTAATGCATGCAGATACAGTTGTCGAGCATTCGACCGTACTGCTTTAGCTCGATACGCTCCCTTGGCCAGATACGAAAATGGCAAGACTCCAACTGAATTGCGTGGATATGGCAGTCCTAACAAAGCACTTATAAGAGGTGCAACATCAGCTTGCATTACATCTTTGCGCATATAATGAGAAAGACTTCCCCAAGTTTTCTTTGCAATTTGTTCTTGCTGCACTTGTGCTTGTAGTTGAGCACGTACTTGAGCACGAGATTGCGTTGGAAGATTAATGTCAAAATTATTTAACTCTTGCACCTTTGTAGGCCCTTGAACACCTGCCCCCCAGACGACTAATGGAGTCCGTGTATTTGCGGGATCACCATCTCCATGAGCTCCTTTTAAGCTCATTCCATGGTCAGCAGTAAAAACATATGCGGTACGTCCATCGTTATTATAATAGTCTTCGATAAAACGGTAGCTTTTTTCTACAAGTTCATCCACAAGTGCAATATTGTTTAAATAATTCATAGAATTAGGTCGATGAGCGTGGCCGTTCGAGTCAATTCCTAGATAATGACAGAATATTATCACTCCATTCGTGTTCAATCGTGTCTGTAAAACATCATCGTCACTTGCACTTTGAAACAAATTCTTTAAACGCTGAAAAACCCAAACATCTAACTCGGACGCATCTCGTTTAGCAAAATCTTCTTCCTCATGAGAATAATGCTCTTCATGTGCTTGTGATACATATCGAGCAAACATGGGCACAATATCAGGACTTCCAAATAAAAATGCACTTGTACTTTGATTAAAAATTGAATCAAAATCCACAGGGTTATCAGCCCAACCTTTCGTCACAGCACTAACGTCTTCATACATACCGGCGAAAAGAGCCACGTGGCCAGGGCGGCTTTCTGTTGGTACACGTGTATGGGAGACTCCCCAACTACCTTGTGTCTCAATGATCTTGCGTAAGAACGAGACGCGAAGCTCTGTACTTGATGCATTCGTTTCGAAAAACTTGTCTGCTCTACAGCCGTCAGCGACGAAAATCACCACACGCTTTGCAGGTGGTGCATCAGTATACGCGATACTTTCAATATGCTGTACCACAGGAGATGTAAAGTAAATGTCAAAGATACTTAATACGTATAGCACATGAAGAAAGACACCCAACACTAGTAAGTGCGTAAGTCCGTCGCCATTCAAGACGAGCGAAATGTTCATTATGGTGGGATTATTAATGTAGTTAAAATCGTTAAATTGTCGGAATTATCAACCAATTTTTAGACTTTGATACAAAACTATGGGTGGGAGCATCCGCGAGGAGATGGAGGTGGTGCTCCACGAGCACCGATATCTAGTAACCAAGCTACTTGAGTCACTCTACACAGCCTCTTTGTATGGAATTTATCCCTTGCATATGGATTTGTATATTCCATGTTTACAATGTTGTTTGCTACATGACCGTAGGCCTCCGTCCACGACGATTACAGCCACGAGACTACGTACAGTGAATGAGATATTTAACAAAGTGCTAGAAAAAGATCGCGATTTACTTGTGACTGTGAAAAAATGTACGTTTGATCTACGAGAGTTTAAGATGCGTGCGAACTTAGTATTGCGTTGTAGTGGCAAGACACCAAGTGACACAGAAAGAATTACTTCGCATTGAGGCTGAGATTAAGGGAAAGGAACAGAAGGTGATTCAGTATGCAGCACAGCTACGTCAGTCTCAAGAAAATATTGCGAATGTATTGAAAAAGCATCAAGTTGTGTTGCAAAACGCGAAGCGTCAAGTTCAAGGTAAGAGACGGAAAAGCTCACGATATGCTACTGATTGTCGTCTTACTTCATTTATCGCAATGCAGTCAAATTGGACCCGCGCAATGTTATTGCGTATGCACACCGTATTGCAGGCACAACGTCCGCGCCAAAAGAATGGCAACCTGGTGTACGTGATTCATTTTAATGTACTGATGAGACTCCGTCTAATGTTGGATAGTCCAGTTTCCAATGTTTGGATTTATGCCACCAGCACCACAAGAACACATGATGCGTGCGGGCGTGCTTAGTCGAGGTATCGTAGCGGAGATTGTGACGCAAGGGCCTGAGAAGTATACATCAAGTACTGCGAGAGTTAAGCAAGAAGGAGAGAAGGAAACTATTGAAAAGCTCGAAATTCCTATTGGATTAGGTGCAAGTGATGCACAAATCCGAAAACAAATGCCACCGGGATGGAGACCTGGAGATCCCGTGGATTTACCCCTCGATGCTTTGCTCCATTACATGGGTCGTCCTTTTTTCATTGAACATGGAATAACATTGCCAGAGTCGTGGAAAACGGGAGATCCACTTCCGTCGGATGCCATGGAGATTCTACGCAAGAAATTTAAGCTACCTGAAAAACGTGTACCACTATATGACGATGAAATCGTGGATGACGTCGACACATTGCGCAAGAAACGCAAAGTGGAAGAGCGCGATACTGGCTCGGCCGAAAGTGAGAGTTCAAGTGAATCGGGCGATAGTGAAGACGATGCCCCAAATACCATTTCACTCAGTCTGTCATCGTCGGAAGATAGTGACGAGGACAGTGATTGAACAGTGCTGGGCGTGAAAACGCGACTCTTATGCGTTCTGTCGACTACTTTTAGATTCCGGACCCATGAAGTTATGAGAAGTTACATTTTCGATTGAATTAGATGGGAACCTACTTGCTCATCTTAGCACTGTCGTGATTGGTCTGTCCGAACTTATCCCGTCTGTCCCCTCGCACACTTAAAAGGTTAAGCTGCGTCTCGTCAGCTATCTTTAAGGACTTTAATTAGAGTGTAGTGAAGTCAATTCACATTATTCTCCTATTTGCAGTCGCCCGGCTCTCCGGAATTTTAGCTACTCCTTATAAACGATGTCTTCCCGACCGGCTCACAAGATGAATTCGCTGACTAAAGTTCGGCAACAAGAGGCTACGGCCCCAAACGTAGCATCTCCGAAAGGAATCTCCATCAAGACACCTGGCAAGCTTCCTGTAGCCCAGATAGGAGGCGACCATTCGCTCGGACTGCAACGTCGTCGATTGTCAGTAGCAAGTGACAATAAACTTGTCGATGGAATGGCCGCAGTCACTCTTGACGACGTAGCCAGTAGTGCTCAAGTATTAGCAGACGGAACGTGTGCGGCTGTAGCGTTCGCTGGGTTTTCAAAGAGAGGATATGCACCATATAATTCACGTAAAAAGAACCAGGATGCAATGGTGATTAAATACGATCAAAAGACACAGTCCTTGCTCTTGTGTGTGTTTGACGGTCACGGAGAAGCTGGAGACGGCGTCTCGGGTGCGATTCGGGATCAATTTCCAGTAAAGTTGTTTCAGCACCCAAAGTTCGCACGGTCCGAAAAGATTGAGCAGGATGCTGAAAGGTTACAATCCGCTATTACAGATACATTGCAATTAGTGGAACAGGCAGTTTTGTCCGATCTAAGTATTGATACCGAATTTAGTGGAACGACTGCAGTTGTGACTGTTATACGTGAGAATCTTGTAGTCGTCGGGAATGTTGGAGACTCACGGATCGCTCGGGGCTTTATGCATGCGCATAGTCCATCATGTCCTGAAAAGATCGGCTTTCAAGAGCTTTCTGTTGACCATAAACCTGATCGACCGGATGAAAAGACTCGAATTCTTGCTAGAGGTGGTCGAGTATTTGCAGTTGAGTATGACGATGGTATTGATGGACCTCCTCGTGTTTGGTTGGGACACATGGACGTGCCAGGCCTTGCCATGTCACGCTCGCTTGGGGATGCAGTTGCTCACACGGCTGGTGTCATTTCTGAGCCTGAATTCACGACACGATGGCTCGATGAGAATGATCGATGCTTGGTCATAGCTACTGATGGTTTATGGGAATTTATGTCAAACGAAGAGTGTATTGAAATGGCCATGAAGCATAAAGATCCAAAGACTGCAGTGGATTTGTTGATTATGGAAGCAAATCGTCGATGGATGAAAGAAGAGCAAGTAATTGATGATACGACGGTTATTGTGGCTTACCTTGATACACGAGCATCTAAAGCTGGAACGAAGGGTAATGCCTAGACTTTTCACTCTTCACACATTTAACGTCAACATTAACTAGTACTATTTTGACATAAGACAGCCACAAAATAAATTTAAAAATTAATACAAGCGAAAGATGTGACAAAATGACGCTGAAGTAAAAGAAAGAAATGAAAAAGAGTCTACAGCCAAAAAATTGACGTAAAATACGTTGTGGCGATGAAATTTTGAAATTGTGAGGTGCAGACGGTTTTAACACAAGCACAAGATGAGTTTAAGCACAAACGTGAAAATAGGCAACGAAAAAAAAGCGAGTGCTATTAACAACTGCATCTAAGGAAGAAAAGGGCATGAAGCAGCAGAGATCATATTTTACGGCCGCAGTCATCTCTTTTGGAGTGTTGTAAGCATTTCTTGCAAGAATTTTGATTTGTTTCACAATCTTAAAACTTTTATGCCAGGTTTTTGATTAGGGTTTGAATTCCTTACATTCGTGCTGTCAACACAAAAGTAACACGACTTCAAAATATATAACATTCTGCCCCAAAGTTAATTTCTAGATTTGAGCTTAAAAGTCGTCATCATCATCATCTTCATCGTCGTCATCAAAGTACGTCCGTCGTTTCATCTACATGACAAGGAATCATGAGCTCTACTATCTTGTCGTAAGTTATTTCAGCCAAAAAAATAATATTGATCCTTCTCATACCGTAACTTTTGTGCGCTGGTTCTCCTCACTGACGCCTACCTGATTGAGCAACTCAATGAGCTTATCCTCGTCGATCTTGGCCGCCAGCTGACCACGTTGCGCCATCTGAGCCACCAAGTCCTCGATCGCACGAGCCTTCTCTGGCTTCACAATCGCTATTCTAGCCACTAGAATGTTTCATCAGTGATATTTCTTACTAAAAAAATGCTTGTAATAGTTCCAACGTACAACGCTCGCGGGCGTTGGGCAACATAACTTGTTGCATGATATGCTGACGCATCTGATCTTGCTCTCTACTCATCATGATGGAATGAAGGTGAGCACAATATGGCATAAAAACAGTATAGATCAGCGTACGCACTGCTGCTTCATCTGTTGTTGTTGCATTTGCTCCATGGATATCTTTGGCTGTGGTTGTGTATCCTGATAGAAATATCGACAACGACACAGCGTAAGTAAAAGTTCGAAAGTATATCGCAGAATCGTTGTGAATAGTCATTTATGTAGTTGAGATGTGATCTGGATGAAGCGGAAGACAACGTACGCTCATGGTGCTGGTTCAGGGCGAAAGTTAAGCTAATTTTTGCCAATTGTATATCATAAATAAGAAAATTTGTAAAGAAAGCTGGACATTTTGAGCAAGACCAGTGCTTTGTTTGTTTATAGTTTACTTTAATATTACTCTCAGATCGAATTTTCTCGATAACTTAAAACCCTACTTTCCAGTCTGCTAAGTCGGGCGATCACAATACGACAATTTTGATAAAGTATGTGTGAGAGCGTTATTGAAAAAACTCAATTGCTTTTAATCGAATTATGAACTTCCACAATGCTGATAATGAGCCAAAGACGTTGTAGTGGATTAATCCTATATCAACTTTAAGCTCTTCGATGCTGGTAAGTGGTGTGTGTGGGAGCTCGCTCATCAGCTGTTGAGCTAATTGCGTAGTAAACTAAAAGTAAGCGATGATTAGTTATTTACCTTTGCATATGAAATCTACGTTACTATTTTTATATTGTGTGAGCTTTCGCAACTCTCGAAGGGATGATATACCTTGCTTTGATCCGGCAGAATGTTAAACACTCGGTTGAAACTAATTTACTGACGTTCTTGAAAACTATATATTTATATGATTTATGTGACTATTTTCAGCACGAAGCGGAATCCTAAATGTTTGCCTCGACAGGTGTGTCTTTGAGGTGGAGGCGATCAACTTGATTGTCTGCTATGACATGCAAGTAATCAGAGGGATCACAAAGCGTTTGAGTGATTTGAGAGTTCTTAAAATGTTAAATAGTTTCGCGGACTATGTTTATAAACGAACTGCTTGCTCCTTATGGTTTATCGGCTGGATGTTCGAGTCCAAATACAAGTAAATAGAGCCATTCATTATATCTACATATGCAGACCACAGCGAAATCAGATGCTCAATCTATCTCTGACACCATTCCAGCCTTAATTTAAAGGGTCAAGCTCATTAAAGTGACCACATCTGTACTTTTAGCGAAATAATTGCATTGGGATCGCTACCAGCCATCGTTGTGGGGCAATTTTTTATAATAGGTTGTTTTCAAGCATCACTGCTGAAATGAGAATTCTATCAGCTCTTTGTGGCCGAAACTACATCCGTGGAGTTCGTTTGGCATGAGTAATTCAAATTATTGCTCTCCATGATGCATCAGACAGGGTGATGGCAGTTGTGATCCGACGATGCCCCATCTGATCCAAGATATTTGATATTATCATGATGAGCAAGGCGAAGTGCTTGCCCGTTCTCAGAACCTACATCGACAGCTATAGATAGCTGAAGTTATCAAATATCCGGGAACACAAGACAATTACAGAGGAAGCATGATGATAGATTACTGGCAACTGGTCACGACGACGTGAAAGTACCTATGATATCTTTTTTGTGCGGCAACAGTGAAGTGTTTCGTAGTACAATTGATATAGCTAGATAAACAGCATATCAGAACAGCAAGTGACCAAGTGACCAAGTGACCCGAATTAATCCGTCACAGTACGTGACCACCGTAGTGATCAGGCACTCACAAATTAGAAGCATAAAAATTGAAATTTCGTGCGAAATGATACCGTCTGATCTTACATGATTTTTGTACATATATCACGCGCTTAAATCATTCTGTTGTAGTCTTGAATATCGGGCAAACGAATTGTACAGTCTGCCTTAGTTTCATATGTCATTCGTACTCTTCGAATCGTTTTTCAGCAGATACATCTACTCTGTCTCTTTGAAGAGTCAGTCTGAAGATTGTGTTGATGTGATGTACACTGTCTCTTCAGACCTAAATTGTCCATCATGGCGACTGAGCTTCCGTTTCCACTATATTCGGGGTTCTTTCCGCAAGTGGTGCTTACAATAGATGAGATTATGCACTACCGACGTTTAGGTAAAGAACGGGTATCTCAGTTAATGCGCATCATTGACGACGCGGACTGCATCTACCGCTGGACGGATTTAAAGGCCCGCAACAATCGCATCGTTCAAAAGGCGCAGTTTTGGGATATCCAACTGAATACGAAACAGCCGGTAGCACAACAACCGTCGATTATTTTTAAATCGAGTGCTCATCTAGTGGATGTACAGACAGATGAAATACTTGAGGCTATTGCAAAGGTTAAGACACGAGATGCACGACGAGCTTCGAGTTATTTGTACGGTGACAACGTGGTGGATACGCAGACACTATTGACCTTTCCAACATCATCGGAACAAACAAAACCAAACTACTCATATAGAGCTGTGAAATGGTGTCTACTTAGGAATAAGAGAAAAGAGACATCAACAAGGTTAGACTTTTGTTACTTGGAGTATGCTGGTAAGAAAAAGGATCGTTCTGCTCCTAACAGTGTCGTTGGTTTCTGCATTCAAGAATCAATTGCAAAAGATCGAGAAGTACCGACATTAGAAAGATATGACATCTTACGTGGCCAATTTGTACGCACCGGTTTCTTGATTACGAAGACACGCCAAACAAATATATTAAAAGTCACTGCTATTGCACAAGTGGATGGTGCTTTGGAATCGGCAGCTGTGAGGGTGGCAATGGAGGAAATTATGGTCAATTATGTTACAGCTGTGCATCGTGTTAAAGGATTGTTAGAACGCCAACGGATGGGGAGATTGCAGTATCTAGACGAATGGAACTGGGTGTCCTCAAAGGAGCGTAAGGCATGTGCTGTTTGTCTACGTAGCTTTTACTTTCATCGGAAATATCACTGTACCACGTGTGGTGAAGTCGTATGTTCGACATGTGCGCCTTTACGAGAGCTGGATGAACCACTAAATGAACATACACATTCGTTGCGCGTTTGTTCTGTTTGTATGGCACAAGCAGGTAGTCGCGCAAGCACCAGCATGTTTTCCGGAGTTACTCGAAGCGAAGATGGTTTTTTTGAATCCACAACACAGACGACCAATATAAATACAGACACCTACATGAATGGCTTACGCTATCCGAAGCATCGAGAACTACCGAAGGAAGAATCGCTGCATCATTCAACTCTACGGTTCACACCAGAGCATTCGCTTTGGCATTTCTCGGGCTCTAGTCACAGCAGTAATCACCACGATGGATACAAACGCGAGTCTGACGGCAACTTACAATACCAGCGCACATCAATCGAGTCTATACCGAGGGGACGAAATTCTACGACTTTGCAGAATTTAAAACTGACCTCACGTGCAGTGTCGACTGAAGCGAAAAGAAAAGCCGTAACACGACTGGTTGAGAATGTGAGACAGATTTGTGACACGATTAATGTGGCGATTCTGGAGGCAGAGGAAGAAAATGAACGTCATAGTATGATGCTTCAGAATGGTCAAAGAGACGACATCGAAGCAGAGCGGTATGATGAACTTTATGATTGTTTAATTAAAATTAGAGAATTGCTGGACACCTCTAGCTCGGACATCGATGATGCACTTGTGTCAATCGGTGGCAATAAATTAAGGCGTCCGTTATTGGATCACTCGAATGGAGCCCTCGCTTTGAGTTTCACGAAAGATGTAAACAGCACGCATTCTAGTGAGTCGAAAAGTGACAGGCTTGAGCTTCATTCGCCACGATCTTCGCTTCTTTCAGCCTCAGCTCGATCGCTGGACCACCAAAATGCGGGCGAGCCCTTGCCATCACCAAGACCGACACAGCTAAACGTTGCGGACGACTCGCGTCTGTTAGCACAGGCAATTCGATGGGCCCGTCAACCCGAACCAACTGTCAGCACTCACTTGAATGAACCTGCATCCTTACTAATTGAACCTGCTGTCGCAAACTTGAAGAGTCCAAGGATTGAACGACTTGCACGAAAAATCGGTCGGCTTTGCCAACGCCTCGAGACTGTGCAGCGTGAGATCGATATCCCACTCGTTAGAGAAAAGAATACTGAAGACGAACCGGAACCTGAGAACCAAGTGACGTCTGATTTTGTACAAAAGCCACATCAAGCGATTGCGAGTACGTCAATAAAATGCGGATCTTCTGGTCCTCGAGCTCCTCCCGATCTCGTGGCCAGTTTGCGTGGCGTGATGAACTCAAGTGAGCTGACGCATGCGCCTCCGCGTCAACGAACTGCACTGTCATCTTCAGCGAATGAATCGTCCAAAATTATTTCCCCGTCAGGAAACCCAAAGAGAGCGCCACCCCCTCCATGTCCAGCGGTACCTCCAGCACTCCCAACTTTCAGCTCACGCACATCTGCGTCTCGAGCGTTGACTCCCCATCAAGGGACTACCATCTATGTACATGAACCTCAAGATCAGCTCCAGAGAGTTCGACGCCGCGGTCTTGACAAACCTTTTCGAATGACTATCGTCGCAAAATCAGATCTTAATCCTGTTCAGAGCCGAAATGACCACGGAGAACAAGTCAATATAGCTAGTCTGGATGAAGAACAAGAAGATGCACGAAATCATGGAGAATCTACGGTACCACCGCGATCAAATTTTAGATTTTCTCGATACGGGGATCGCGAAGGAAGTGAAAAATTACGTGAATCAATAGAAGAGATGGCTAAAACGCCATTGCGCAGCCGTTGTGCGAGTGGACAGTCAACGGGAGCACCGCCCAGTGAGAAATTTGACATTTAATTAACGTTTCTACAAAGGACATGGTGATTAAACACAGAAAGTCAGCAGTTTTGTGTCTATTATGGCTGACAAGGCAGTTAATATTGATGTCGTACTATTGTCGTAAGGTTCTTAATCAAAATGAGATTATGAAAGGCTGCTTGAATCGCCTTAACAGTTTCATCAGCATAGACTGAGGTCGTTATACCTTTCACACCTATCCATCAGATAGCTAACGAGAACTCCAGACAGCGGAGTCACTGTCAGTTTCTTCTTCATCACATAGAGAATCTTTTCTTAGCATTGCGCATCGCAATGGCCTCTTGCTAAATTTGAGCAATGAACTATACAAAGTTCTTGAAATCATTGCTGACGTCTGCGCTTAGTGGGTGAACTGTAGGACTCGAGAGGTAGCGAAACGACCGCTGACTGAACAAACGTTTCATCTTGTACTACTTTCGAGCCATTGAGATCATCCCACTTAAGCAGCGCACGCGTCATTCGATCACGCAAATCAAGTATTTGTTGTAAGATCTCACGTTGTGACGGAAGTACCGAAGGACTGGATGAGCTCTGATCTGTCAACGTAGAGTGTTGTTGCCAGTCTGATAGAAGTGGTAGAAATCGTTTCCGAATGCGGATAGCACTATCGGCAAGAGCTTTAAACAGTGCGTCGTTATCTGAAGATTCTTCACACATCTTGTTTGGTACTTCAACTGTTAACTGGTAAGAAGAGCTACCAAGCCCGTACTTCTGTACAATATCATTAACGTCCATCTGATCTTCATCGCTACTCTGACTTGCGATTACGTTTTTGTCAGATGCGTCATCTTCATTTCCGATGACACTCTCCCATTCCACACTTTCCTCAGTTTCAGCTTCAAGATTCGTATTTAGAATCGACTCTTTCTCCCACTGAAGGTTTTCTCCATAATGTTCCTTCGTAAGGGCACTACCACGCCCACTAGACTCTTCGTCTATCTCTTCGGTATTATAAAACTTCCTATGCCCTGCCGATAATGCTTCTTTCCTCTCTTCGTGATTATGATCTCCTACTAAAAATGTATCCAATGTCGGGATCAGAATCTCAAACACGCGATTCATCTCAATGAGCACAATTTCCATTTCCGGCACAAACTGCTTCATCTCGCGATCACGTTGCTGTCTTTTAACATGTAGCACTTGCTCGCGATGTCTTTCTCTTTCTGCCTCTATTTCGCTCTCTTTTTGCTGCTTCTCACGTTTGTTTGGAAAGCAATACCCTCGCTCCACTAATGTACTATAACCCGCTACCATTGATGGATATCGCTCTCCGAACTCCTGCTTCCAAGTCTCAATCAGCGTTAATACTGCTAGTACCTGCTTTGAGTCTCGACTCCTAGCTCGCAACGCCCTCGAAACATTGGCATTTGGGTTATCACCAGCTGACAGTAGAAGTTGATTGAAAAAAGATGCTGAATTCGTTGCTATGAGCGCTCGGAACATTGCTGATCGTCTGAAAATCTCCTGACAGAGCTCCATTACCTGAAAAAATTAAAATTGACATGAATATCGGTAGTCAACCACTCAAGAAGCATAGCGACTCACTCTCGAGAGAATACTAGGTGATGTCTTGGCTCGTTTGAGCTGATAAAGAACACATGCGTAAAGTTTCTGAATATATTGAGATTGTATTGCCACATCAGCGTCTCGAAGTAGTCGCTTAAGCTGCTTTAAACATGTTTTGCTATCATTTTCAGTGGACTGAATCTGTGCTTGCTGAATTGTCGGTCTTTTTCGACGTTTATCAGAGGATTTCGACATTCGGAAGTAGCTGTTTAGAATCTCATTAAAGTGAATGGCTTCATTCTCTCTGTTGAGCGTCTGGATGCCGATCGTCATCTAAAGCAAATTTCAAAAAAAATGGGGAAAACGATAGGACTAAAAGCTTTGAGTCTTGAGGTATGAAATAGAGAAAAGTCGACTCAGATTATTTTACTAAATACAAACTGATCGCAATTAGCAATATTAAAAAACTGTAGAGACCTAAAAAAAGTATCATATTTGAGACAGCTATTGAACGACCTCATTAATACTTTTGTATGGACTTCAAATCTCAATCAAGGAATGGAAAATATTTTCAGCAACAACGCACCCTGTAAGGAATGACGGCTTTGTCAAGTTAAAGAACAGTGAAAAAACTAGCTCTACAAACATCTTGGGACAATGGTTGATCTCATCATTGCTAAAAAAGGAATCAGTTCATCAGCTTAAGCCTCCTCAAAATTGACTTGTCGAGTCGCCCGTACCTACCAGCGCATAGAGCCCAGATCGCTGGTCAGACAGACAGAGTTACATTAGCAGTCTGCCTGGTGCTTATACTCAGAATTCACTTATCGAGTAGAAGGTTATGATAAAGAATTGAGATTATCTGAATAAGGTTGTTATAGATGACTTAAATTCATTCAAGCGATATTTAACGCGTATCGTCCGGCTTCTTACGTTGTTAAATGGGTGTACATTAAATTTCCCGACAACTATTAGTAATTATCGAGGAGCCGTTGTTTCGCGTCCATAGAGCTTGACGTGGGGACGAATACTTGCGACATTCGCCTAGAAATACTTCGAAGTCTGAGTCCTCCGAAACGGCACAGTCTTTCTCGATTCGATTGCCTGCATGCGATACAAATCTGGCGCTGAATGATGAGTGAAGGGACGGTAACAACATCACATTAGAAAGGCTGTCCCTGCTTTATGATCCACTCTGCCAGCTTCACTAACCAGCGTGACAAGACACCTCACCTCAAATCACCAGACTCATAACCGCAATACAAGCTGGACTCCGATGCTAAAGATCACAAAGACAGTAACCATAGTAAATTTTGGGCTGGTCAACAAGACTGGTGCTCGAATTTCGTTTCAGCTTCGTCTTCAACGTCACACAAGCCCAACTTGTCCGGCTTGGTCTTTCTCTTTGTTACTTTGAATTTTTCAACCCGAAAGTAATGACAAAACAAATTCTGGAATGGGAACGCGAAACTAAACGCATCAAATTGATTCACACTACCCCTAGCAACACTCACTGCGCTCCTGTACAACGCCGACTGCAGAAAATAATTAATGAATTTCAGCCTGCCAGCTATAGGCTTCAAGTGCAAGCATGTTGGCTTTGTGTGGGCATGTCAGTCGTGTATCGTGTGTCTATCATTTTGACCATTATTAATCCCTTCACATTTGGTACGACAAGCGGCCTTAGCACAGCAGCATCGAATGGCGGACGCATGCACCGATCATCCCGTGTAATCTCAATGAGCCACTCTAAATTTTGTCAATTTTACGCCCAAGTGAGTACTGTCTTGCGGTGCCCAGCTGTGGTTGAACGTCTCAGTGCACGAAAGAGTATTCGGGGTCAAGGTGCTATTATTGACTGGCAACCTTTCGCGGAATTTCTACAAAAGCTAACCGAAGTGTTTCAACGGTACAAATACTTTCAGTATTTGGCTTTTACGGCTCAGGCAGACGCCAAGACCATAAAACGAAGCAAAGTACAGCTCGAGGCTTTTCTGTCTGACTGCTGGTACACGTTAGTGGATATTCTCCCATTGCTTGTGGTAGAGCCATATTTATTAGCATCACTGGGAAGCGAAACGATCAGCATTTATCTGTTAATGCGTGACTTTCTCTCGCTTCCCGAAACCATATTGGATGCTAATTTTACTTATGCGAATGCCGTTCTCATTCTCGACGATGTGAGTTTATCACCTTCTTACTATGACCATTCGTGTAGCATATGTCTTGAGCCGCTTATATTAACTGAAGTGATCGAACTCTCGCCAAATGACAAGAGTTGTAGCAACAGTTGTGTCAATCAAGCTTGCAGCAATAGTTGTCAAAGTGAAAATACATCTTCCGTAAAACTGCCCTGTGCGCACATTTACCACGAGGATTGTATAATGTCGTGGATGCAACATAATCCAAGTTGCCCCGAGTGCCGTGCCGTTGTGGTGAAGGGAATTTAATACTTGTTCTGTAAGATCCCCAATATTTTAATAAAGTTTAGTTGATCCTCATCTGCTGTTTAAGATTTTAAAAGACATTTCGTATTTTGACTCCACATTAAGCGTTTGGATATTAATCAAGCGGGTAATCAATATGGCAAGCTATTAAATTTGAACATATCCCTTCTCGCATGCATGACGTCCGGGAACAAGATAGCAGATTTATGATACGAAGATGGCGGGCAACCACTCAGAACTCTTTAGCTTTGCTCAGCGCAATCAATCAAAGTTATATGTTATAAGCTACCATGTATATGTTTAAGTGGAGATGTTCAAGTGGGATGTGCAACAATTCGCGAGTGTATGCTTCATTTATTGCACATGTATATTGAAAAAGAGATGACTACTTAAGAATTGCGACAACGAGTCAAGGTAGCAGAATGCAGTTAGTGAAGGGACACTGATCTCCCTTATCATCATGAACCTAGGACACGATTACCTTCTATATTGCATATGATACAGTGTAGTGACAAGCCAGATATATTTACAATACGTAATTTGTAACGGGGTTACACGTACCGTGGTATCAAGTGATCATACAAGTGTGTAGATTACATAAGACGGTGTAACACTATAATGGTGTGGTTACACCGTTACAAAAAGCCACTACGTGGCTAGACTAGGTTCTACTCATTAAGTAGGAAAACCTACAGATTTAGATATAGGCGGCGTAGAAGCAGATAAAACAAAAAAATAATGTTTGGATTTGAACGAAAGAGTGTGTTTACCTTGGGTTATGGTTGTGGGTACTCTAAAAGTTGGCGGATTGCGGTCCGCTACACTCATACTGGTTCTGGTTCTAGTATAGAACCTAAGGTCGGTGGCCTAGAACGAAGGTC